TTAAATGCACCAACAACCTAACTGTAAATCTGAATTTCAATCTTAGAAATCTATCTTCACTTGTATTAAAGAGTTAATACAACCGAAATACAAAAGCACATGCTCTCTAACATTTGCAACAGAGAGGCAGGATATAGAGTAGCCTAATGAAGTCATAAATTTAAAAACTTATGTAAATGTTAAATTTCAAGAAAACCAAAAAAGATATGCTAAATAGCGCGACAATTTGCATCCCTATAGCTTGTTGCCAAAGTTAGATTTAAAGAATCAACTTTAAAACCCTCATAATGTACAATTAAGGATAATATTTTTCTTAAGATGATCCAGGATGGTTACAAATTTTTAAGTGCTGCAAAATTTGTTCTTACATTTCAGAAGCCTAAAGAATTATGCCTGAACAAATGACTAATGTAAAAAATATTTTCAGTCTTATGGTAACTAAGAGGAACAGCTTGAGGAATTGAACTTTAGGCTTTTTTTTTATTAAAAAGTTATCAAAATGCTGTGCTGGTTACTCAAATAATGGCCTATATTCTACTGACCAACATGTACAATCAAGGAGTAATTTGATGAGCTGTAAAGACAGAAGGATATCCAAACATTGTGACTTACCAGGATTTCCTTTTAACAAGCTGCTATCTCCCTGTAATTTGGGCTGGTCTGCATCAATGGTTTCATAGAAAACAGCAATAGTAGCAATAAAAAATCCAGCCAGGCAGGAATAAAATACCAGGTAGAAGATACCAATTTCAACTGTGGTTGTAATTAAAAATTAAAGCATACATAAAAATTTACAATTTATAGTTTATTGTTACAAGGGAATATAAAAATTACAATAAAACCTGACAGCAGAGTAGGGGAACTTTGCTTAGCATATGGGAAAAAAATATTTAAAAATGGAGAATACTGCAAACATGATGAAAACAGATTGCTAGTATTAGGTATAAAAAAAAAAAGCTAGGAATAGAAGATAAGCAGTTAATAATTGTAGTGGTCCCTATTACAGACATTTCCATGTGTAAAACATGAATCCATATAAACACATGGATTGATATTTCTTGATTTTGAAACCAAAACTAACTTGCTAGTCAGATATTAATGTAAATCACTAATTAAAATCACACTCAATGATAATGTATATACATATATATTTATAAATGTATGAGTAAATATATTAAAAGATACATTGCAAAAACCATCTACAGTATAATTGAAGTAAATATTGGATTATTGGGTGAAAAATTATTTTAAAGTGGGTTGTATAACAAAATAAATGTGCTTTTAAGTAAATGTGAAAAATTAAAATTACTAAAAGTAGTAAAAGGCTACTATTATTTTATTAGCTCTAAAAAATGTTAATTGTTGACTACTTTAACCCTTTATCTACTGACGGTACTTATAAGTACCGCTTTAATTAAATGCCTGTATTATTTTTAATTTAATACGAATTTTAAAAATTATTGAAGTAATTAATAGTATTATCTCCCCTGAGTCGCCGGTAGTCGGAGGTATCATAGTTTTTTGAAAATTACTGGTGTGACGCCATTTTCAATGTCTTGCTATATCGGTAGTTCACAATTTTTCTGTACATTTCTCACATACGTTCTTGATTTCCCTTTGTTTTACCTTATTTTTCAAGTTTTCGACCCCAAATATTTTTTATTGGCAACTTCAATAGTCAGGCAAACGCATTTAACTTCTAGTTATACAATTTTAATCAAATTGTCTTTGTATTAGATCGATGTTTACAAGTAGACTTATAAGTACCGTCAGGGCACACGGTAATTTTTTTAAGATTTTTAGAAAATGGCAGATTTTTAATGTGGAGTTACATAAATATTGTCTTGATAATTAATTATCGAAATGTACTCAAAAAATGATATTTACACATTTATAAGAAGTTTAGCATATGGTTTACCTAAGAAAGATTGTAATTACATGTTAATTTCTAGTAGTAAAAAATTAACAAGAATAAAGGTATCAGTTGCAGGCTCGTTTACAAGGTTTAGTTTACTTCATTTGTATACCAAAGCCTAGTTCTAGTTGTAAGATTTAATTTGTTAGTTATATTTACTGCACTAAACTGTCTTGCCTACAACAACTAGCATTTACGTAATGTATACATGTAGGCTAGTAATAGTCCATACTTCTGCATATAGTATTGATCTATATGGTAAATTTTAATCAGTAAACAGAAAGGAGTAGGCCACTACGGCTATCCTAAACACATTGAGCTCACTTCTATTTATGAACTTTGCACTGTAGTGTAGACTTGTCATAACATTCTAGTAGGCTACAATTATACTAGTATTACTTGTAGTTGCGTGCTGAATGACTTGGCTTTTGTTTGTTAATGCGGCTCATTGTACTAGCTATTGGAAGCTTCCAGCAAAAGCATGTTCATTCCGGCAACCGTTGCTGTACCAGAAAGACCACAGGCAAGATTGAGGGAGCATGATATGTCGGCAACTTTTGCTGTGTTTGAGGTCTAAGATGTGTTCCGATAGAAAATCCAGTAAAAATCGTACTCAAAATATACTTTTGTGCTGTATTTATGTGTGAAAATTACAAAAAGTGATTGTTATAATGATTGCCATGTTATTAGTTAATAAATTGTATCGTTTGTTCCTGTTTTGTAAAAAAAAATTTTTTGAAAAAAAGTCCTAGTTTACTGACGGTACTTATAAGTACCAATATCTGTTTGGGTCATTAAAAATTTATGAAACGAAATTTCCTTCGATATATGCTTTGAATGTGCCAAAAGCAATATAGTAACACATTGTTTAAGTAAAAATCTCATTCAGAATATAATTCCGTAAATAAAGGGTTAATAAAAAAACAATGAAAAGTTTGTTGGTTATGTTGTTAGTGTTATGTACAAATTATTACATTTGGTTATTGATAAGAATTGGTATTGGAAACAAGGTTTAACCTGCATGTACGACAAACAAAAAACTAGAAAACCCTAAAATTATCTGATAAAAAATAATTCAATAACTTGGAGGGTGTAGCATATTTGGGCTTTAAAAGGGTAAAAAAAAAAACAACTCACCTTTTATTCAATTTCTGGTGAAACGAAAAATTCAAAAATGTGTCCCAGTTTTATTTCTATCCATAGAGAAAAGCTTGATATTAGCATGATCCCAGGGATATATTCAAGATAGAATATATCTACAAGGAGTTACAGCCGCATTGTACGTAAAAAAAAAGCAAAGCAACGCTGTCTAAAGATACTTACAAAAATAAGAATTTAGACTTGAGTTCTGTCATGTATGGATGCATCTAACCTGCTACACTCTACTCAATGCAAACATCACAACATTGTGCTAGTACATTCCCTAACAACTCATGCTATTGCTGCGGTCCCAACAAATTAAAAATCATGCTTTAAAAACATGCTTTAATAACTTTACATATACGTAGTGGTTTTTGATGAAATGAACATGAGAATTTGAGGATTTGTATCTGGAGAAGCCTATGACTAAGGATTATGTTTTCAATTTAAAATGAGCACTAAAATGCACACCATGGATGTGAAACAACTAAAATAAAGGAATATGCAAAACAAAGACTTATGAAAAAAATTGCTATGCATTTAAACAAACCTCTAGATCACAGAAAAAAAAAACTACAGCAGTTTACTTTAAAATGTTTCCATACCAAAGTAAGTAGGCCTACACCAAATTAAATACAACACCAATATTATAAATAGTTAATTGAAATGTTAATAGGACTAATAAATATAAGTAATCTTTACATATACTGAAGTGTTAAACTAGTTAATTAACAAAAATTACATGCATATAGGCCTAAACAGCAGCTGTAACTGAATATACAATTTGCCACAGCCACTGTATACTACTGTATAGTGTAGGGATATTTGCTGGAAAATGGCAAAAAGCTAGGGTGCATTTAAAATTTTAGAAAGTAGGGTCTACTAAAAAGGGATGTTTTTTTTGAAACTTTAAGGTGACACTGGAGTCTTATTTTTCCCCCTGGGAATTTTAGTACTAAGGCCTAATAGTTAATCTAGTAATAAAGTAGTGGTAGTAACTGCATATTAGGTAATGTAAAGTAAGTCAGATAGGCTATAGGTCAATAAGTATATTAATTTAATAAGGCCTTAGATAATTTCCAGCCTTGATGGTTATAGTTTTAAACTTTAAGGACCAGAAAAATCTGTGACTTAAGCAAAATGTTAAAAAGCAAATCGCTTTACTCAAGCAAACTAAAGCTAGTCACAGATTATAATCTGGTCCTGTCATATCAGTTAAGTTATGAGCTGTCAAAACATAGTCATACAGGTCTCAACTGAAGTTTGTGTAACAATGTAACCTAAGCACAACAGTTTTACAGAGTCACACATGTAACTGTCGTTCACATTAATGATTAGTTGGGGCCTAATAGTAGAAATGTCTTCTGTCGTTCACATTAATGATTAGTTGGGGCCTAATAGTAGAAATGTCTTAAATGAAGATGGTAGTCTACTAAGATTTAAGGATGTTCAGCAATATTTTGTTACGGACTTCTATCTAGATGAGACCTAGATTTCTTTTTTAATGAAAAAAAGGCATTGGGTCTAGCCTATAAATTATTTTTATTCTAGATCAGATCTAGATCTTAGATTCTAGAATCTATATCTAGATTTTCTAGATCTAGTCAAGAGATCAATGATTTTGATACAAACACCTATGACGTCCCCAAGAATTAAATGACTCCGTCTAGAAATAGAGTGCAAATCAAGGCCCTGTCGGTTGTTATAGTCTATTGTCTTAGGTTATAACAAAGTAACGAGTGGGAATAGACTAGATCTAGATCGAAAATAGTCTATATCTAGATCTAGATCTAGATGACTAGATTCTACTCTTACCGGCTCTGCGTGTAATAAAACTGTAAATTCACTGTTTCAGTCGGTCATTTCATTTGGTCACAAAATGTAATCTACAACATCAAACAATTTGATTAGAGTGATAACAAATGAAACAAATAGATATACATACCCCAGCTTCTTCCACCCCTGCCTAAAAATTCTTTTGTCTCCCCATTCCAGAGAAATAATCCTAAAGATTTCAATTTTTGCTGAAATGTTGGTTTCTCCATCTTCTCTGAAACTCTACTTAGCAAGGAGACTCTAACCTTGTCAAGTGCCCGGATGGAAGAACTCGAACGGGAGAAAACTCCTCGCTTTAATTATTATGCGTCATGAACTTTGTATCACGTGACCTAAACGGTGTCGATACATAGTAGTCTCTATTTATTCTTTTTTTTACTTTCTCGTATATACGAAGTATAGAGAAAGTATTGTAATCGTGCACAAAAATCATTTGAAATTTTAACAATTTTCACCGTATTACACCTCAGTCCTTCATCACATCCGAAGTATAGAGGACTTATTTTAATCGGGCAAAAATTATCAATCCAGATTTATCAAAATTAAGAGGTTTTATGCGTAATCCAGTCTGAAAAACTGGACTTTGCAATTCTGTCCGTATGTCTGTGTGTGTGTCTGTGTGTGTGTCTGTCCGTGTGTAAACATGATAACTTGAGTACCGTTACAGCTAGGTTGATGAAATTTCATATATAAGTATTTTATCAAAATCGTAGATCCGTATCAACTTTTGAGCGATTTCCGATAACCGGAAGTGGTACTTTTCCTACTTTGAATTTTTTAAAAGCCTATAACTTGAGTACTATTTCAGATAGATAAATGAAATTTCACATGTAAGTAAAAGATCTAATTCTCTACCTTCTGTTAAATTTTGAGTAATTTCCGTTGACTGGAAGTAGTAATTTACGCTACTTCCGATTTCTCAAAAAACTAATGTAAATTTTTAAAGTACTAATAATATTGCGCACTATTATACGCGTTTTTATTCGGCGTTTGCTTGGTGCGCAATGTTTTTTTTATGAGATTATATTCTATTTTTAAAAGTTTAAGTATTTAAAATGGATTAAAAATCATAACTATATCCCCAGTTACCATCCCCTGTTGTTTTATATAAGAATATTCGAGAAAGTTTAGGGGAGATCACTACCGGTTTATTTTTACTTGCTCGTATATGCGAAGTATAGAGAAAGTATTGTAATCGTGCACAAAAATCACTTTAAATTTTAACAATTTTCACCGTATTACACCTCAGTCCTTCTTCACATCCGAAGTATAGAGAACTTATTTTAATCGGGCAAAAATTATCAATCCAGATTTATCAAAATTAAAAGGTTTTATGCGTAATCCAGTCTGAAAAACTGGGCTTTGCAATTCTGTCCGTATGTCTGTGTGTCTGTGTTGGTGTCTGTGTGTGTCTGTGTGTAAACACGATTACTTGAGTACCGTTACAGCTAGGTTGATGAGATTTCATATATAAGTATTTTATCAAAATCATAGATCCGTATCAACTTTTGAGCGATTTCCGATAGCCGGAAGTGGTACTTTTTCTACTTTGAATTTTTCAAAAGCCTGTAACTTGAGTACTATTTTAGATAGATAAATGAAGTTTCACATATGAGTAAAAGATCTAATTTTCTACCTTCTGTTAAATTTTGAGTAATTTCCGTTGACCGGAAGTAGTAATTTACGCTACTTCCGATTTCTCAAAAAACTAATGTAAATTTTTAAAGTACTAATAATATTGCGCACTAGTATGCACTTTTTTATTTGGCGTTCACTTGGTGTGCAATTCTTTTGTCTACGAGATTTTTATTCTATTTTTAAAACTTTAAGTATTTAAAATGGATTAAAATTCATGTCTATAGCCCGAGTTCCCATCCCCTGTTGTTTTATATAAGAATATTCGAGAAAGTTTAGGGGAGATCACTCCCGGTTTATTTAATTTCAATTTTTTTTTTTAAATTAAAAGAGAATTTTTTTTCTAATGGCATATAAAACATATATATATATATATATATATATATATATATATATATATATATATATATATATATATATATATACATATACATATACATATACATATACATATACATATACATATACATATACATATACATATACATATACATATACATATACATATACATATACATATACATATACATATACATATACATATACATATACATATACATATACATATACATATACATATACATATACATATACATATACATATACATATACATATACATATACATATACATATACATATGTATATATATATATATATATATATATATATATATATATATATATATATATAAGCCTATATTATAATAAAGGCTATAAAATCTACCTAAATTGTTTAAAAACTTAAAAACATTCAAAAGAATTCAAACATTCAAACATCGTGTAAATATATAGATCTAATTAAGATAAAAAAAATAAACGATAACTTTATCTATACGAATACATATAAAATATATTCAAAATTAATAATACGTACTCTACATTATGCACGTTTTACATTTTTGACTTATCAAGGGCGACAATAGATAAAATATGTAAATGTTTTTAACAATCCCCGCCTACATTCCCTTGTTTTAAACTTTTTTTAAAATGTTAAACAATTTACACAACAAAAGGGAATACATTTGATCCATCGAAGTCATTAATGTGAAACACTATTGGTTGTACATTGTATTTTTGGTAACGGCTATTAAAATGCTAACAGTTTTATAAATAACTACTTTATATTTTTTTTAAAGGCAATAACAAGATTGTTTGACATGTACAATTGGATGGTGCAACTAAACAACACAAATGGATATGGTGGTGTTTTTTAATATTTTGGTATATTATAATATGGAGGGGTGGTAGTGTTATAGACCTATAAAACTGCTTCTAATCATCTCTAATATTATTGTATCTTTCAAAAATTTTACTTACTATTATAGTTTGATACAACATATTTATATATTCGTGTTTCACACAAAATTACACTTTATGCTAATTTAAATAATGATTTCTAGGCTGATGTACAAGAGTGGATGTTTTCGGTGTGGTGGCGGTGGTTCTTTAAATTTTTTATATAGTACCAGTGCCGTCGCTAGGTCAGGTATCACCCGGTGCGGCACTTCGTGTCACCCCATGGGACAAAGTATATATATATATATATATATATATATATATATATATATATATATATATATATATATATAATTAAATGCCGCATACGCGTACATGTATGTGTATAAGCTTTAATCACTGCAGACTTAATAATAACGACGAGCTGACTCGCGACGTATCATACGCCGCTATCTAGTTGTTTGAATTTCTACTTATCAACAATTCATAATTTGTGAATTCAACACTACACCCCCTCCCCCCCCCCCCCCCACCCAGTGAAAGCAGCCGTTTACAGACGACAATGAAAATATCAAGCAGAACTTATTACCTCCCGTTAGTTTCAAATCGTTTAAAAACTAAATTATCTGCCCCTTGTAGCCGTCACTTATTCGAACCGGTTCTGCTATCGTAAACATTCGGGGTGAACCACAGCTCACCTTACAGGTGGGGGTGAGGGTGGTAGCTAAGCTGCGTGGTGTCTTCTATGGTCCCCATGAAGAGAATTATATCTATAATAATAGTTTCGCTGTCTCTCTATCTATCTATCTATCTATCTATCTATCTATCTGTCTGACAAGAACGCTCTAGAGAAAACACAAGGAAAATAAAAACATGCATAGTAATTCGAAAAACGAAGTATGACGTCGACACATTTAGCGCACAGAGTAGAAAATAATCTCAAGCCGGATAGTGCACACATTGATATGACGTCATTGATTATCGATATTCAATACAAAGGCAATTTGGTCTAATCTAAGTGGTTTGCGTGAAGAGTTTCTTTCATACAATTCTTCGGGTAGGGGCGAAGCCCCACCCCCGCGTAAGAACGTCTGAGCCCCCCCCCCTCCCCAACTCAAAAGAAATTTCCTCATCGATACTCTATAATAAAATTACCGCCTAATTAATGTGTCTAATCTTAAAAGTGGTTTTCTTGCAATGGGACGGTAGACATGTTGTTTTTTTTTTGGGGGGGGGGGGGGGGGGTGGAGGGGTGGGGGGGGTGTGTGTGTGGGGGGGGGGGGGCGGGGGGGGGGGTGTGTGTGGGGGGGGGGGGGTGGGGGGGGGTTGGTTTCAGTGTTTCTTTCAGACTTTTTCCTCCCCGGAGAGGGGTGGGGGTACTTGAAATTTTCGGGGGCGGGGGTAGAATTTTCTGGGAGGGGGCGGACACTGGAAAAAGTATATAATTATATTTCGTTGAATGGGACGGTAGACATGTTTTTTTTGGGGGGGGGGGGGGTGTGGAGGGGTGGGGGGGGGGTGGTGGTGTGTGTGTGGGGGGTGGGGGGTGTGGGGGTGGGGGGTGGGGGGTGGGTTGGTTTCAGTGTTTCTTTCAGAGTTTTTCCTCCCCGGAGAGGGGTGGGGGTAATTGAAATTTTCGAGGGCGGGGTTAGAATTTTCGGGGAGGGGGGGGGCGGACACTGGAAAAAGTATATAATTATATTTCGTTGAATGGGACGGTAGACATGTTTTTTGGGGGGTGGGGGTGGGGTGGGGGTGGGTGGCGGTGGGTGGGGTGGGGGGGGGGCTGGTGTGTGGGGTGGGTGTGGGGGGTGGGGGGTGGTGTGTGTGTGTGTGGGGGGGGGGGTGGGTTGGTTTTAGTTTAGAGAAAAGAGACAGCACTATCAACCTAGCGCCCGGTGTATCCTTCCTCAACGGGCCATTTTTCTCGTATATAGATGTTTATCTATAGTCTGTTTATAATACAGTTGGATGTAGCAATGTTTTCTCTATAGTTAGCACGTTTATGACATGGTATCACTCCCGCCCTTTATTAATAATTGTCGATTTGTACCTAAAAGACTATTTAACTTAAATTAATCATTAATAAAACTGGCCAAATTTTTTTTTTCTTCTGTACATTTCATTTTGCATTTTTAGCCTGTGTGTCACCCCCTAAATGGTGTCACCAGGTGCGGTCCTCACCCCTCGCCCCGCCCTCGCTACGCCTCTGTACAGTACTAGCGTGCCCGTTCCACACTTTGCCGCTGTCTCAGACGCATTATTTTAAGAGTGTTTCATTAATGTGTTACCAATCCTATATTCTTAGACGTGTGACCTTGTTTTCTACAAATGAGTTATTTAAATGTAAACAATGCCTGCGCTATATTCCTTGGATTATATTTGTCGGGGCACGGGTTTACCTACGCTACCCCAGGGCGTGATGTATGAAATTCTAGAGTGTACGTTAATCACTCTCCGTAACCGTGAGGTACAACACACTTCGACGTCCGCTAAGGCGTCCGGGCGCTCTCGGGAGCATCCGGTTACACCACTGCAGGGGCGCCGCGTACGACCCCTGGCTCGGTTTAATCATCGAATGTCGTGTCACCGAGTCAATATTGTAGGGTGTTCTTTTAATCGAACGTAGGCACCATAGTGTTCACAGGATAGCCTGGGGTGCCAAACTTGCCGGGGCCTAGTTTACTTTAATTAACGACTATAATACCCCATCTTATCAATAGTCTTTAGCACTGTTTAAAACGAACCTTGGCGCCATAGCGCTCACGGGAAATACACACACACACACACACACACACACACACACACACACACACACACATATACATACATACATATATATATATATATATATATATATATATATATATATATATATATATATATATATATATATATATATATATATATATGGTGATTGTGATGGTCTGGGGCAATATAAAAATGTTGTATAGGGCAAGTTCAGAAATGACAATTTTTTGTGCAACATAATATGCGCTAAATCCCTATTACATTGTTTACCCATTTAAGCCGTATCATCTCATTTAATTAAAGATCTCTATATACATTTGATATCCGTCCTGTTGTGTTCTGTTTATACTTTTATTTTATTTTCCACTTTTAAGTAATTCATTCTAAATGGAGTGAGTTCACACTACATTGGCTACTACTAAAAATGTTTGCTTTGAAACCCGACCAGTAGCTTAAATTAAGCGATCTCGAAAAGACAGTTATCTGCCTCTTCTAACTCTTAGTTTATGGTCGACGCCCAAGGAAGAAATTAACCAGCCGTGAAAAACAATTCACCCTCGACGGACAGCTGATCGAAGGGATTAATCATTAATGGCATTATGCGTTATTGTGCGTACGAGTTAAGAGTGGGTGAAAGGGGGGGGGGGGGCAAAATAAATACTGTTAAGAGCCAATAATAGGTAAAAAGCGCATACAACATTTTCAGCTTTTTTTTTTAAAGAGGGGGCGATGGGGGGGGGGGGGGGAAGGGGGTTTAAGGACGAAATTCGGAAGGATCTTCACTGAACGGGTGTGTGAAGAAATCGTCTAACTCTTAGTAAAGAAACCAATTGTACACATTTAAAAAAATGTATGCACTTCTTTTTTATTCCTGTTTAAGAAACGATATGATGGTTCATGGCAGTTAAAAAGCCGTTTCTCTCAATTTAAAAAGGACTGATCAAAGCATTGATTGCTACAGATATTTTCTGCACCCAATTTATAAAAGAAAAAAATTGGAGTCTGAGGTTCATTAAAACAGCCTACGGTCAGTGATGGTGGGGTGGAAAGGAATGTTAATAGATCCAAAGAATAAAACCTGGATTTATATTTTTAAACGTATAAAATTACATCTGTTTACAAATAGGCTGATACACATATTTCACCGATTTGTATGTCACTAATCTTGTTTTTGATTATGCCTATTCGTGGTGACTAGCTGGGTGTGTGTGTGTCGGGGGGTGGGGGGGCACTTGATTTTTTTTTGGGAGGGGGGGGGGGGGCGTACACAGGTAAAGTATATATTTTCCATCTAACTCCATTTCGTTCAACTTATTGCCCCTTCCCCCGAAGAGATGCCAAGATGAAACTCGGGTTGTGTGTAGTTGGAGGGGAAGAATTCGATTGATTACTAAGCTAGGTAAAACTTCTGACGATGGTGCAAGTCGACAAATTCAACCGCTTTGTGACTGAACCTCGGGAGTAGTCTGCTGCAGTCCCTGTTACCCTCTGTTTAACAGACCTCACATTTGTGCCCAAAGATTTATCTAGAATCTCATAAGCAATTGAATATAAACGCCCGACCTAAGACATTTTTAGATCCTAAATTTAGTCTCTAAATCTGGTTCATTTCGTAGTTTAGTTGCAATCAAGATGACAAAAAGCGACACCACTAAAATATTGTTTTCCTGACAGGGGAAATAAGCGTTTTAGCTTAGTTCAACAACAACGGGGTTAAATTTAATGTTTTACAGTCTAAATTACTTTTAATTTTGTTGTAGGTTAACCTACACAATATTTCGAAACATATTGCTGTTTTGAAAGCCGTATTGACACTCTGCAATTAATGTAAGTATTATTATATAGAATCTAGTAACTATTAACTAATAACTAATTGACACTAATTGTGCTTATTTAATATTCAGTAAAAAAAAAAAACCTCCATAAAAAAACTAACTAAAGAAAAACTGCTTAGATCTAGATCTAGTAATAAAATTAGACTCTAGATTCTAGATTTCTAGATCTAGAGATCTAGACTGATCTAGTTTAGTAGTAGTAGTTAGTAAGTAAGCTGACTTGTCACTTATAATATACTTAGAATCACTATATATAGTATATACTAGATTACTAGAATCTATATACTATATATCTAGATCTACTTACACTGACTTACAGTTATACAATGACAATGTAACAATACCTAGCTACTAGCTAGCTACTAGATTCTAGATCTATCTAGATCTAGACTTTTTTATGCAACTGCTACAGTCAATTTTACTGTTTTTCTTTGATCTTCTACTCTACTTAACTAAGGATGTATGTAGAATAGAGATCTATTTTACAATAAAGTATCATCACTCTCATAACACCAAGAATTGTCTCACTGGTTTGGCACATAGATCTAGATCTAGAAAATCTAGTAAACAAAGTTCTAGTACTAGTTTATGTCTTTTTTTTAAATATTAATTTTTAATTTCTTTAAGTAATGGATCCAGCCAGAAACAATCTACCTCTGCAGTTCAACACCAACAAGAACAAGCCTGTGATCCGGACTAATTCAGAAGGGAAAGATGGTAATTGAGTGTGCTTGTTATATTTTAATGAAACATCAGCTGGACAGATATTGTTCCCTATAAATTAACTGACATCAAGGCTAAACGTGACCCTAGCAGCTATTGTCAGCCTAACCTCGGCCCAAACAATGATATTGCTAGGTTAAAATCCTCACTTAGATTTATTATTATTTTTACAGCCATAATAAATTAGAAAAATGAAATATTAAGATAACATTAACATGATTGAATGAAATTTCTTTTTAGACAATACAATTTTTAAACTTAGTATTGTTGTTACTAGAAATTAGTTTATTTTTTTTATTAAGGCTTTAGATGACTTATTACGGCTGTACAATTTACAATGTTTATAGCTGTTAGCTGCAGTTAACTGTATTTATTTTGCATGTTAATCTGCCTAGATGATGTGACTTCAAGCACAAGCCATAATATGATGGGTCCTACTGACCACTCGAATGACCAGCATCAGAATAACATGATGGGTATGTTTAACATGCTCGGACAGATGGTTGCACCTATGACTACAGATCCTAATATGATGATGATGGGTGCAATGAATTTCCCTGATGTAAGTATTTTTTAAAACATGAAAATCACTTTCTTAAATTGGGTTTATTTGATAAATAATAAAGGAAACTGTTTTTTTTTTTTTTTTTTTTTTTTTTTGTGTGTCTGCTAAACCAAGACCTAATATTTTTAATGGTTGATTTTAGTTTGGAGGACTCATGGGTGCTGGGCCTGCACAAATGATGGGAGCAATGGGACCTATGGGAGGACCAGGAATGATGGGTCCTGCACCTGGACTCTTAGGCCCTCCAATGGGTGTTAAAGAGATTATCCATTTGAAGTCATCCGTTCTCTATCCACCTCCTCCAGGTGAGTTTGTAAATAGTAACTTGTCTTATTTTTATCTTGATTTAAGTACTTCATTTTGGCAAATTTCTCTGCACATGATGACTAACCCAAAAGTTTTCAGTTAAGTTTATGGGCTAGAGCAGGGGTCTCCAAACTGCGGCCCGCGATGTCCTCTCATCCGGCCCTCGGAAATCTTTTTGTCCACGGAAAAAAACGTTTGTTGGTGATGGCTGAAGAACTTTGCCCAGAAAAATCAAATACATGCCTGAAAGAACCTGGTCCCCGAACTAAAATTTGATAGTTAATGTGGCCCTCGGACTGAAAAGTTTTGAGACCCTTGGGCTAGAGGTTTAGTAGAACAGCTCACAGTCCACCCAACTCAATACCTGACTTGAGTTTGGAAAGTAAAGGCAACCAGGTTTAGTGCTGGCCATACTGTCTATGTTTTGAAGTCAGGGGAAGCTTTTGTACATACATTGAGCTAATATTGTCTTTGAATCAAAAAAAAAAAATTAATTTTTAAGTACATTTGCTAATTAAAATGTGGGAAAAAATAAAATAATTTTGTAAAGGAAAAATATAACAATTTTGTTTAGTAGGTGTTTTATAAGAAAATAGAAAATAAGGAGAAAAAATCAATTTTATATAAAGATCTACTTTATATTTATACTTATATTCCACTACATAATAAGAATACGCAATACAAATTGAATTTGGATATCACAGTCTAGCTGTCCAAAATTATGTTACTGTTTGTCTTTTTTTGTCTAATTTTTAACCATGCAGTTGTGTGCTGATGAAGATCTTAGGTCTAATAACGTTCTATAACGTGCCTGTTATTGTTTTGAATTTGTTAGGATACTAATACTACTTGTTTTATTAATATTTGCAATACAAATTATCATCTGTGCCAAATTGTTTTAGGTGCACCACCCCGCAGTACACGCGAAAGACCTCCTGGTTGCAGAACCATTTTCATTGGTGGCATCCCAGAGAATTGCACAGAAGATTTGTTGTATGAGGTATTTGAAAACTGTGGACCCATTCAGAGCATTCGGATTAGTAAGAAGAACTTTGCACACATCCGCTTCATGAATATGGAATCTGTAGATAGGGCCTTGTACATATCAGGTAAATGATCCAATAAAAGCTATAGGTGTTTCTATTATGTTTATTTTATGTATCTCCTTATAAGATTCTTTAGTTGTTCTAAATTGTTCTAAATTGTTTTAATAATGTCTTGTTGGTTAGTTAGTTATTTGTAGAAATGTTTTTCTACAAGTTATTCCCTGCAAAGGACTGTATACAGTTGCTTTTTTTTGTGCATGCTGAATACACCGATAAGAATTGGATGTCAGGCATATTCAAGTGGTTGAGCTTACCCATATTCTTAAATTGTCCCTGTCTACATAGGAAGGTGGGGTATCTAGATAGGTGGCATTTGCAAAGTGTTCACCACATAATTGCTGTTCTTGAACAGTAATTATTTTCTCAGTCTTTTGGACAAAAATGGTCGCATACGTTTTTTTTTTTTCAAATCTAGGATACCGCATGAAGATCAATGACTCTGATGAAAAAGAAGACACAGGGAGGATACACGTTGATTACGCTCAGGCCAGAGATGACCAGTTTGAGTTTGAGTGCCACCAGAGGGCGCTGGCCAGAGAGATGAGACACCTGCAGAGATTAGAGGAAGAGAGGCTCCGCCCACCCAGCCCTCCCCCTGTCACTTACTATTCTGATCATGAAGCATCACTTCTTTTGGAGAAATTAAAAAGTATGTTTGTTCTCTGTAAGACTTTGAAAATATGGTATTGTTAGATAGTCAATGTCTGTCATGTTTTTAATGTTTTGTTAATATATCTAGATTTCAAAATGTTCTCAATATCTAATGTTATGTAGATTTGATAAATAGTTAAATAGTAAGTGTGTAATTCAAATTTGAAAAAATAGTATAAAAAATGTTTTTTGCTGTTGCAGTGGATGATAATTTTTCCAACGCTTCACAAGTACTTATAACCTGGTTAGAAAGGGGTGAATGCAACAGAAGAACCTCAACCAACTTCTACTCCATGGTACAGAATGTCAACAGCCACATCCGCCGCTTGATTAATGAGAAGTCAACAGTACAAGAAGAATATGAACGCTACAAGCTACAATACCAGCAGCGCCTACAAGGCATCAGAGCACAAAGTAAGTTCATTTTGGTTTTATTCACCCTCATAAATCTGAGTTTTCAGCTCATGAGACTAGCTATGAGGAATGGAAGATTCCTGTCTGTTTTCTTACTGGAGGTTAAAGATAAATTTTGACAAACTGAGAGTGGTAAGACCTGGAACTATCTAAAGGATCGATAACTCACAGGGCAATGATCTGTGTAACTGTTTACATATATGACGGCTTGGTAAACTCATAATGTGACTACATTTGTTGCTATGGATTTCTGCACTAGGGAGGAATAGTAAAAAAAAAAAAAACTGTTGTATAAGATAAGATGCTTTATGAGGTAGGTTTCTGTGATGAAAGATGCAAAATGGTTTTTGTAGTTGTATTAATTTAAAAAAAAAAAGTTTTCAAAATACTTAACTTCAAGAGTTACGACTTCGCATTTGTATGTTTAAATCTGTCTAATTGAATTTAATTAAAATTTAAGAAAAATTTTGAACTAAAAATACTGATACTTTTGAAAAGTTGATAGTTGGCAGTGTTAAAAAGTTATTGTCCATAAATGATTGACATTTTTAGTAAAAACTCTGATGTTAACTGTGGAAGTGTGGTCCAAGCACCCTGTAGCTCTTCTAAGTTTAAAGTTATTTTTGCATCTGTCATCACTTTGTTATGTATAGTTTGTTACAAGTGAGAATGATGTGAGTATTACTGTTCATTGAAGTAACCATTGACATTAATCATTAAGAAAGATGATGATTGAGATGTAGTTGGTGTCTGTTGCTAAGCATTCATAAATGCAAATACTGATTGGAAATTAAAAAACAAAACTTTTAATTTGGATTGGATTGACATCTTATCATGATGCCTATCATTGTATTGTGCTGCATATTCCCAACAAATCTGATGAGGTAATTCACTTGTTTATACTGTACAGAAGGGTACCAAAACAAATATGTATTTTTTATTGGGGTGGGTATAATATTCCAAATTATAGTATTTGGTTTTCTCATATTTTAAATAAAGAAAAAAATAAAAATTCATATGAATCTCAAAATCATTAATGGGAATTTATTTGAATAGTATTCAAAGTAAGCTAAAATTATTTAAAGAGAATTTGTTTTCTAATGTTTGAGCACCCTTCTGTGCATAACAAAGTACGGGAGTTGTTTAACTGTACCATGTCTGTGTGTCACAATGCTCTACACATGGCTAGCCTTGGCTGCATAGTATTTCCATGGCCTCTACATGTCCCCTCCCCCTTCAGTGTGTCAGGTAGAACGTGTACTGGCTGCTGCTCACAAACAAAAGTGCTGGGATCATTTCACCAAGGCGCAACGAAAGAATATTGACACCTGGCAACACCAGGCCCAGGTAGTGTACACAGGAAGGTGATCAGCTAAGGCATCATTACCTTTCTCACAGTCCTTCAAACAAAAACAAAAGTTCACTTTAGAGAAAGTTGACAGTTATTTTAGATTCAAAATTAACCAAACTACATGAAGTTTTCTAAAGACATTCTGTGAGTAAAAGTAAAGTAGACCCTCAAAGTATGAACAAGTTTTAAAGGTAATCTGCTTCCTTAACCACAAAGTATGATGAAACTTTCCCAGTGTAATGGTGGTCCAGAATGGGACACAGAATGCATTGATGAAAAGCTAATGATGTCTTAGTTCTGAAATATATGTTGAGTCTTTCATTAGAGAAGTTACTTTAATCTTATAACTAAAAAAAAAAGGCCTTTATTGCTTTAATTTTTTATTGTTACCAAGTTGCCTCCCAACTTAAACAAATTCCAACGAAATAAGCTTATTCTTTAAGTTCTTAGTCTACCACCACTAGGCATTAGATATAAGGTAAGGTCAGAAAGTAGTTTGGTGAAAGAATTAACCTGGATCAGTCAAGGATCTGGAATTATTTTAAAAAAATATTATTCACTAAGAGATGTATTTAGAGTGGGATGAGGACATAGGTTTATATAATCCATTTACTGCCCAGAAGCTTGGTAACTTGGTTTAAGTAAACATCAGACTCGGTTAGAAGGACAATGAGACCAAGGTATGGTTTGAGCAACATAAACCACCAAGAGCAGGTAAAACAAAATGAACCTAATCTCTACCACCAAGACGTGAGGAGATACTATTGCAGTCGGCAGAAGAGATTTGAACAGTGGTTTGTGGTAAATTTGAAAAGGATTGGTACATTTATTTATTCAGTTATACTTGTTGCAGACATGTTCTAGAGTAAAATTTAAATTCTCACTGCAGTGTTGTAGATCATAAATTAAAAAAATAAAAATAAAAAAAATTTCTTGGCGGTTATCCATAATTGATTATAAAGAACATTGTTGTTGTGATGTTAAATGAAAGCTATGCTAATAAAAATTTAGAATAGGTTAATGAAAATATGTGTTACACATGTAAAACATATGACTTGGTCTGCCTTCAGGAGCTGCGGGAGACTGAAGAAAGCTTGATGCCCAAACTAGAAGATGGTGCTGAAGACATGGACTTCTCTGATGAAGAAGAGACAGGCCCAGCCACCAAAAAAAGAAAAACTGGAGCCCACAACATTAGTGGTAAGTTTAACTTGTCTCGACACCACTTAACATACATAATAAAACATTATATTACCTTTTCATAGCAACATTTAAAAAAATTTTTTTTTTAAATTTTGGTGTGAAAATGTAGACAGCCCAGAAAGTCAGAAACTGAAGGAAGAAAATGACGCACTGAAGTGCCAGATGGAAGCTTTTAAAAACGAGGTGGACATGGTCAGACAGGAGTGGAAGACTGAAGTGGAAGACAAAGACAAGCAAATTAAGGCGCTGCAGAATGCTTTACAAGGAATGCAACAGGTTAGTGTTTATGACAGCTGGAATAACTCATTGAGTGACCACTAAGGGGACTAAGTGGTTTGTTCCTTATTAAAAACAGCAGGTTGAAGGAATGTTTGTCGAAGCTATTCCAAAACAGTGAGCAGTAACTTCAGGGTGTGACTGTTAAAGCTTTTTTTTTTGTGTATCTTTATCACATTTCATCTTCATTACAAAATAATTTTAAAAAAAACCCCAGCTTTTTAAGGCAACTGTAAAATTCTGATAGTGCATTTCCTGTATTTTTTTAATGATGTAAAACAGGTTTAACACACCAGTTAAGTTAAGAAAGGCTGAGTTGGTGTTAAAATTTATTGTATCTGTTGTATTTAAGTAAACTTTAATATTCACATATAAACCTAAAAAATAATTTCAGCAACTTATAGCTCAGAGGGCAGCAGTAGCTAAGCTGGAAATGGAGAGAGAAGAAAAGGCTGATGATCCTGAAAAAGAAACTGATGAAAGCAGTAAAAAGAGTGAAGATAAGGTAGGTTTTCCTGTTAATGGTTTGCAATTGAGCAGCCTATGGGATGGAGTGGCCTAGCGGTAGAGAGCTGGATTGCTAACCCGTAAATCTCGAGTTTGAATCCGGGTTCAAGTCAGTAGACTGTCCCTGAGTCCACCCAAATCTGATGGGTACCTAACTCACGTTAGGATAAGTAAAGGCGACTGGGCACTATCCCTTCATATGCCGAGGTCACAGAAACAAGTGAACTCTACTTCACTTGCCCCGTAGACCATCAGATTTGAAAGGGACTTTACTAATTGAGTAACCTGGAGGATAATACTACTCTTTTGTGATGACAAGTTGCTACATAGAACCTCACCAATTGTATAAGCTTCTTAATTTATATATTTATTTGTCAAGTAGCCAGCTTTACAAAAACACATTATGAACAAAAGTTTGAACATATTTTTAGGATGAAGAGAGCAGCTCATCTAAGTCTACCAAAGAAGATGTATCAGTAAGCAGCACTGGCCTTTCACTGACTGACAAAGAAGCTAAAATGATTGGTAAATATTTTGAATTAGTTGTATTCATTATAGTCCCTTTCCTCTAATTAAAAACCTACTTAATAAAACATAGGTTGACTTAGTAAAATAAAACAGTCAAAAAAGAAGTTTCATTTAACACAGTATTGTATTTAATAGTAATAAACATTGTTCCAGTCTTGTTTTACAATCTGCGACCTGTAAAAAATATGTGGAACACTTTGTCCACGCTTTTGAAAAGCTCTAGTTTGAAAAATTCAAAGCTTTTATTCTGATTGGTTGCAAGTTGTACTTGTAGTTGCCTTAGACTTAAGGTCCTGAGATAACTTTCTTATTTCATGAAGCAGAACTTAGAGCGAAAACAATAAAATCTCATTCCAAAAATGTAACATAAAATCTGATTCCAATCTTGTATTTACTTCTCTTTTATCGCCTCCCATATGTCTGTCTCAGCTAGATAATGTTAAGCTTTCTTAAGTTTGATTGTATGAATGGAAAATTGCTGCTGTTGCAAAAGTATAGGAGCTCACATTTGTTATAAGAAAATATTTTAAGACACTTTCATTTCTAATATAACCATCTGCTGTTGGAGGCTGAAATTATTTTTAGAACAGACCTAATTCCTTGATAGCAGTCAGCAGCAGCCACCTTCAAAATGTTTTGTTGTTTATATATAAATATATATGTATAAATTTTAGTTATCTAGGGTTTTGTGGAATTAAAAAAAAGAAGTTAATAAACAAAAGGGAATTTCTTTTTTCAGGTCTAATTTGTTGTTTCCTGCATGTCCATCCTAACGGCGCAACAGTTGACTATCTGTGGTCGTATTTACGCCAACTTCTGAATGTGAGAACCCGAGAAGTTGAAGACTTGCTGGAAAAGATGCCCTCCATCTTTGAACAGGAAATTATTGGAGTTGGAGCAGGCATTGAAAGGAGATGGATTTTCACAGCCCTTAAAAAAGGCCCTTCTTTAACAAATTCTTAAAACAATACAGTTGTATGTTGGATTTGCTTATTTATTCTGTCTTTAAAATGATGACAGACAATATTTTAAAATGCATTGTTTGTAGCTTTACCATAAAGCTACAAGACAAGTTAATTAATACAGAACTTAAATAATGTTATTCCGACTTTATAAAAATGGGGTACAAAGCATATGATTGGTATAAAGCATATGTAGAGTTGCAGTTTGAATACATGATAAACAAATATTTTTTAAAAATTATGTAATTATATTTCACTAAGTATTTTGTTTTAGAATTAGGTGAAAAAGTTTAAGGAATTTTAAAATTTCAATAAATAAGCTCACGAAATAACTTCTTGACATTGTCAACAGTAACAACTGTTGTCTCATCTATTGGTACAGAGATGTCCTTTATTGCTCTTGCAACTTTTTACCTCCTAGTTTTCATTAGGGACTAAATAAAAAATAATTGACATGATCCTGAAAAGAACTGATTAAATAGACTTTCACCCTTGCTGTTAACAATTTTAATTCTGGAGGGAAAGTGATATATTAACACTACAGTAGTTATGCTTGCAAACTTTGCAGACCTGACTGCTTGGACTGCTGGTAATCGGATGCTCTGAGAGTTGCACATTTTGTCTGAATGAATGTTTTTATTTCAATTTCTTTGTTTTAAATGTTTTACCCATCAAAGTGTTTTTTTTAGGTCAAACTTTATTTGGATGGTGTAGTAAAATACTTGAACTCTTCAGTATTTTAAGCACAAGACAATTTATAAACATGTTAATTATGTTTTTTAAGATTAGAGGATTAATTAATGCTAATCGTTAATTAATAAAACCACAAGATTTTATTTCTGTTCATTGCCCTGGGGGTAAATTTTATTTTTGCAGCTCCTTGACATTATTTGTGTACATATTTAAACATTGCAAAGAGTTTTGATCTTTATGTGCTTATGTTTAAAAAACTTTGATTATGTCAATGATTTTGTTTTTTAAAAAAAAGATCTTTTTTTCTTCTTGAGTTTTTTGTTTGTTTTACTATTTGAAGAGTGTATTAACTTGCAAAATGCTCAAGTTATTAAATGTATATAAACAATTATTTCTTCTTGTTTCATATTTTCTATATTACCTCAGTCTCTACATAGGCAACAAAAATATATTAATGTAGATTACATAGCATTTAATTTTACACTACATATGAAAAAGTGGCACTTAAAAGAAAACTAGTCAAAAGACTAAAAATACCTCACTTGCACACATATGTATGTATAAATGTATACGTTTTAAATATATATATATATATTTATATAATTATTGTGTGTGTATAATATGTTAACTAAGCATAAACAGATTTTCAATATTTTACTCTGAATCCCATTATAGGTTAATTAGGTTGTGAATTGCCTATATAATATATACCTGGTGTTTGAAGTAGAGCGGCAGTTTCCTTAGTAGAGGGCACGTCACCTCAGGACCGATCTAGTACTTATTGTACTTAGGGGAGGGACGAACAAAACAGACACAATAGAAATATGTACATTCCAATATCAAAACAGTAAAGTTTCGTCTCTTGGTGCTCAGCTTAAAATGTTTAGGAAGTATCCGCTTACCCCATGACTGGATGTTTCAATTCTTTGCAGATGGATAAGTTGGATCCCTGGGGGGAGGGGGGTGTTTGATAAGTGAGAGTTTTTAAGTGTGCTGTCCTGTCCACAGTTATCCAACGTATAAAACAGTTATCTTTTATAGTAGAGCAAGAACTAGGCCCATTTTACAGTTTCTAAACCGTAGACAACTTCAGCATAGTGTAAATTCCCTTGTCTTGTCAAGGCAATCATAGTAAAGAGCAGTTTATTGTTTCACCAATCTGATTAAGCATGCGTTTTGGTTAATAATAATACTGAATGACAAAATGGCTGTTCCTCAGGGTAATAAAGTTGCATTCTTTTTTATTTTGTTTAGGTATCCTATCTAGTTGAATATGTATTGAAGAACTTATCACTATACTATTTAACTATATAATTCTGTTCTAATGATTACTGTTTATTTAATATTTATTTAATTTAAATTTTAAATGTTATTTTTTTACTAGGTCGTTAAACCTAAACATTAAAATTCTCTATAGGTCTTTTTCTAAAAATAAAATGTAGCCTACTTAATGTAATCAAATACTAGCTTATACATGTAGGCCAATGTATGTTGTTTGTAATTTTGTTTATAGAATTAGACCTCGTTATGTTGAATCAACATCTTTGATAACGTGTGGGCTCTGAGGTCGTTACACGTCAACATATGCATGCGAGTTTTGTGACAAAAGATTATCGTTGTATTTTTTTATCGTTTGCGAAGTAGCAAAAAAGTTAAAATAAAAATTAGATCTTGAAAAGTTCTATGATACCGTTGATGCTCAAAAGTAGTTATGTCACTAAACTGCACAAACTGGCGGACGAAATAGAAAAATATATAGGCTATTCGTTATATAGATAATATACACTTTAACCAGAGTCTTCCCCCCCCCCCCCCCTCCTCATCAGCTCCCGGAAATTTAAGTGCGTCTTCCCAATGCGGAAAGTTTTAAGCGCCCCTTTTCAACTGTTGTTATAGGTGGGACACGCCTATCCTGCTGTTAAGGACACGCCTAGAAGTGTTTTTTTCCAGAAGTATATATTTTCTATATAAATTCCATTTCATTCGGGGGGGGGGGGGCGGTAGACGTTCTTCGGGGGGAAGGGGGGGGGGGGGTCCGACCCCTAAGAGGTGCCTGGGAGAAACTCTACCAATGGCTTCACATGGTACTCACAGACAAATGGGAAAAAAAAAGGCCACAGTGACACCATTCAAGGAAGTGACTGTGGTTTTAGTACGTCGTTGGCAGAGGGGGTGACACCCGACCCAGTGACGCCACTACAGCCTAGAGATACCAGCAGAGACATAAATGAAGAAGATGGGGTGCGACACGCCGTTCAATTTCGTACAATTTATACACCCTTTAATAACCCTTTAAAGATCTGGTGTTTAGAATTTTTCGTCTAAAATTTACTTGAAGTCTGAGCCCTATTGTAGAAAACAAACAGATCTAGGCTTAAAATAATAACTGATAATGCACTATTTTCTATTTTAAAAAAGTTTTTGAGCTAAAATGTGCAGTGCAGCAATACGCATGGGGTAAAATAGGACAAGATAGTGAAGTTGCCAGACTCAAATCAAGTGTGGACCCAAGTTTTAATGTTGACCCAGAAGCTACATATGCTGAGGTATTTAAAAAATGAGTTTGCATAACACATGTTATTGATTGCATTTAAATAGTGTTGAATATATTGCCCATCTCCCAACCAACTTTTGATACATCGTGAAATTGTTTCCTTTCTGGCTTAATGATGGTTAAACCCAGGGCAGATGAGGCTCGATAGCTGGGGAGAGCAACCCATCTAGGGGAGACAACTCCAAACTGAAACAGCAGCTGTCTTAGAATTTGTTCCAAAATGAAAAGCAGGCTGAAATCGGAGTCAACGGCCTATATGGGCATACCAAGTTGCTACCTAGACTCTAATACTTAATCAGAAGTTAATTGTGTTCGAAGGAATCCCTCCAACACTAGAATTAAGAACGAAAAAGAAAGGTAGTTAAACCATTTAAATCTCCTTTGTGTTTTACATCAGTTATGGATGGGCACACATCCAAAAAATCCTTCAACGGTGAGTATACCAGGAAAAGAAGATATCCTATTGTCCGAGTGGTTAGACAGTCATCCAGAGCAATTAGGGCCAGAGGTTCGATCACTGTTCAAGGGTAACCTGCCATTTTTGTTTAAGGTGCTTTCAGTGAGAACATCATTGTCTCTACAAGTACATCCGAATAAGGTGGGTATAAAACCTTTAGGGTTATCTCCCATTCATTTTTATTACAAAGAACAATTAATAATTAAAGTGAATGTACTGGATTTTAGGTTTTATTTTAAAAATGGTTAATAGGATAAGTCCATAAAAATAATTTTAAAAATTGTCGATCCTGTGTGGATTTTTTTTGGTATTGTCAATATGGGGAAGAAACAAAAATATGTTGCCATTATCATTTAGTGTCAAAGGCTTATATATTACACAGTGGCATCGCTAAGTCGGTTGTCATCTGGTACGGCACCTCATGGTGTAACCCCCCCCCCCCCCCCCCTTTTTTATTTTTTTCTCTCTGTAAATCTTGCAGTAAAAGCTTTAAAGTATAGTTTGCATTGTTTACGTCAGTGTCACCCCCCATCACTTGTCAGGATTGTCATTATGTACTTTTAACTTGAATTAACCATTCATTGAACTGGCAAAAAACATTTTTATGTAGCAGATAAAGCAAGGCAGTTATCACCTTTGGTGTCGACAGGAATTGGTCATGGGAGGGGAAGGATTCATATATTTATTATGTATGTTATATATTTTATATATCTAAATAATGTTTGTTATTTTGTTGACTGTGAAGGTGCATGCTGAACTCTTACACAAGACACACCCAGATCTTTTCCAAGACCCTAATCATAAACCAGAGATGGCTATAGCATTGACTCCCTTCACTGCATTGTGTGGGTTTAGGCCTATCAAAGAAGTGGCACACTTTTTACTAAGTTAGTCTTAAGTATACAAATAGAAATGAAGGTTCATTAAATCAAGGCTAATTTAGGGTTGCAATAACTTACATCTATGTACAACTATAAAAGACAATTGACAAACTTTTTTTTGCTTGTTAAAGTTAATTCAGCAACTAATTTATATTTAATTATATAAAAACATCACAAACTATTAATTATGTTTTTTAAAGAACAGGAAACATATATATATATATATATATATATATATATATATATATATATATATATATATATATATATATATATATATATATATATATATATATATATATATATCAATGAATGAATGCTTGCATTTACGGTTGTCATTAAAAACCTCTATTTGCAGTAAATGGTAAATGTTTCATTTGTTGTGTTGATGTAGGTGTTGATGAATTTCGTGAAGCTGTGGGAGAGAAAGCTTGCAAGTTGATAACTGCAAGCCATTCCATGGACATGCCTCTTCACCGCGAGGCGATGAAGGATTCTTTTACGGCTTTGATGCAACGGGACAGTAAAATTGTCAGCAGAGCATTAACTTCACTTGTGGACAAAGTGAAAGATATAAGTAGGCTCCTTGTTATGAAAACATAATATTAAGTAATTGGAAAGCAATCCAAATAATTTTATTATGAATCTTTTAAAAATATTAATGTATGCTAGTACATTTTTTTTTCTTTGTGACTTTTAAAAAAAATCTGCTTTTGTTTAGAAACTTATGTTTGCACTAGTTTCTTTACAATTATTATATCTTTATTTTATAACAAAATTTCATCTTTTATTATTCTTTTTAAATAAGCAATGATGTTATATTCTTTTTACTTTAGAGAAATCCTCTGGAAATATCAAGCCTTATGAGGGTGATGTTCTACTAAAGCTGGATAGCGAATTCCCTGGAGACAGAGGCTGTTTTGCCATATATTTTCTAAACATTGTCAACCTTGAGCCAGGAGAGGCTATGTTTCTGGAGGCAAATCTTCCTCATGCATTTTTATCTGGAGGTAGTTATGCTGTATTACCTTACACATATTCTATAAGGTTTCTTCTAGACATTTTGTTCAAAGGGGGAGCACTTGAAACTTCTCAAAGGAGAAGATTGTTTGATGTGACCCATCTGGTTAAGAGGGGGTGGGGGGGGGGGGGGTGGTTGGGGGGAAATTGATCTAACATGAGGGGTGGGGGGGGGGGGGGGGGGGGGCTGGAACTGCCTGAAAGAAACACATGCTAAAATCCAACACTCCTCCAGAAAATACTATAATTATAATGATTCAATGACTCAGCTTTGAAAAGAAAAAAAAATGAAAAGAATGTTAGTTTTTCTTTTTTTTTATGTTCTCTATCAGACCATGTAAGTAAACTAAGGTTAACTTTTCAAACATAGCAGTCAATGGGGCAAATGAAGTGGAGCTCACCTGTTGCTATGACCTCAGTATTTGATGGGATAGTGTACTCAGCACTATGCCCAGCCACATTTTCTTTCCCTAACTTGCCAGCCAGCTATTCTTCAGAGCTTCAAGGACTCAAAGACTTGAGCCTGGATTCGAACTTGAGACTTTAGGGTTAGCAGTTTGACCCGACAATCCAATATCGGACCAGGTGGGGCAGTTCATATTTTTCTGTATTGCGTAGTCAGTACTCTAGTTAGGGAAAGTAAAGGCGGCTGGGCATAGTGCTCTCCACATTATCTCTTCATATGCCAAGGTCACAGAAACAAGTGAACTCTACTTCACTTGCCCCATAGACCGTCAGGTTTGAAAGGGAAACTTTAGTGCTTGTGGATCATCTCTAAGTGCTATATCATATTAACTTAGTCTTCTTCTTCTAATTAATCCCTTTCATGCCCAAGACACATGGGGCAGATGAAGTAATTTAGTGGTGATACAATTTTTTTAGTTAAACAAGAATGTATTCCTGACAGACTGCATGGAGTGCATGGCCTGTTCTGACAACGTGGTGCGGGCTGGTCTGACACCAAAGTACATTGATGTCCACACACTGTGTGAGATGCTGGACTACACTGGTCGGCCAGTCAACAGGACAAAGTTCCAGGGCATTGAAAGCCACAGTAACATACATATCACAATCTTCAATCCTCCTGTCCCAGATTTTGGAGTCTCTAAATATGAGGTATGGCTATCTAGAGACTATATTATTTTTAAAGTCTTCATTTTATATTTCCTAGCATCATATCAGTATTTTAGTAGGCCAATACACTGAATGATTGTTTTAGTTTTTATAAAATATTGCTTAAATGAGTTGGAATATCTTTAGAAACCAGAAATATTTTGATCTATACAATGATGTAATTGTAAGTTGTTTTTTTTTTATCAATCTCTTAACAAAGGATTAACTGGAACACTTTATTAGCAACATTTCCTTTTATAAACAAATAAAAATATCTAATTTGTATTCTGTTTGCACTGTAATTTTAAATGAAATGTACTTGATTGGTTGTATTTTACAAATACTATTAAAGTTAAATTGTTTAAAAAAATTCAGCCCATAATGTTAAATTTAAAACATGTGCCTTTATATAACCAAGAATAAACATATATCATTTACATTCATTGAGTGTTTAGATACACTGTTCACTCATGTAAAAGCCACATTTTTATGAGCAAAAAATAAACAGCTTTCTATTCTTTTGCTTTTTTTACTGTTATTTAGTAATATTTAGTATACTTAGAAACTGAAATCTTCCATAATAATGTTTTTAGGTTCTGATAGATGTGCCTAGATAGAGTATTCTAAATTCTAGATGGGTGCATATTAATTTAACATTTATTTTTATAGGCGCCAACAGGAACTACTAGCTTTCAACTTCAAGGCTTTGAAAGTGCCAGTATTTGTATAGTTGTCAAAGGTCAAGGGGAGGCCACCAGCCAAAGTTTGGCAGAGCCATTGAAGCTGCAGCCAGGCAGAGTGTTTTTTGTTGCTGCAGATGCTGTTGTTAATATTGCACTAGATGATAGCCTTCCAATGTTATTATTCCGTGCCCATTCAGGTGTTTATAGCAAGACTGTTCCCCATTAGTTTATAATATTAAAAAAAAAATTAAGTAATTTAGTAGACCTATTTGAAAATAAAATACAAATTGTTTATAAATTTGTGACAAATTTAAATGTGTTAAAATCTACATTGTTGTTTCATGTAATAATATGCAAATCAGTCTATATCTTCTTTACATGTAAATGTGTTATTACTTGATAAAAAATTATTTTTTTTACATTGTTTCATGCTAAAAATTAAATGGACTGATAATTACCTATTAATAATTACTTCAATAACTTAACTGATAAATAACCTGCAGAACTCTTTACAGAAGTATAAAACAGACCTTTGGGTTTGTAAAGTTTACACAAGTTTATTGCTACTATTTAACAGCAATAAAACCAAGAGTTGGTATTTCCTTTTATTGCTCAAGGGGTAAAATTTTATTTTTCCTTTAATTGTCATTAAGTTAGTGAACATTTTTAATTTTGCCACTAAATTTTAGCAAGCTGAATTTAATAGACATTTTAAAATCTTTAATGATTTGAAAATAAAATTATGCTATGTTCTTTGAATTTATATACTTGAAAAAAAAAAGACAAAATGCTCTATTATTACTTTTTATTTGGTCAATTGAAAAAAAAAGTATATTTACTGGCAAAATTATTCAGTTATTAAATTAATATTCAAAGTTCTTTATTTGTGTTTTTATTAATTTATTATTAATTACAAATCTCACCATAATGTGACCATAACAACAAAGACTGTCATAAAACTATAGATTTAAAAGATAGGCCCTATTTATTGCCTACAACTTACCTTGAATAGTGATTTATACATTTTTATTATGTTTCTTATGTGACATTGTTAAATGTCACACTTTGATTCAAAGACAAAACATAATGTTAACTTGATATTTTAATTCCAGCTTTCTTACATAGATCTAGTAAGATTTACAGTTTATAGAATTTACAGTGTATACTAGTGTATAGGCCTACTCACCTCACAACATAAAAAAAAAAGCAACCACTTGATAAAGCTGGTCTAAACACTCTACTAGTAAATTTAAAGAAGGTAATGGAGTTTTTAGGCCCTTGAGAAATATAAAAGAGCATAGTCTTCTTGATTATTATATTTCTGGTACAAATCATTACAAAACATTAGTCTCATTCTGATGGCAATAGATTGTTCCAATTTATTATCCTTGGCCAGGCCATAGATCTATATTCCATCAAAGTTGGGCCTTTCCATCTAAATATATCAAATAATATTTATGGCATGGCTATATCTTTTTCTTATCAAATCAGCATGCCCATATCATATACAAACTAGATCTACATAGATATAGATCTACACTTTAGTTACTTTACTTTAGTAAATTAAACACATTTTTCTGTTTATTTTACTAACTTAGGACTAGATTCTACATAAAATGTAACATTCCAGCAATCAAAATTTAGAAAAAAAAAGACCCACCCGACACTACATACTTAAGTTGTTGTGAATGTTCAATGTAACTAGTGTTGAACATTTTATAGCGGATATATAAGTGTTAGAACATCTAGGCCTAATTATCGCTGAGTAATTTAGTGCTTTGTGGTCATATAATAATAAAGTTGAGCTGTTTTAAAGGCGAAAAAGAAAAGCACGTAATCTATCAATCGCGTTAACTCCCCTGTCTTGTCGGTACTTTTCAACGCAACATTGAACATTAGCAAAGTAAAATTTTGCTTATTTTACCAGTTTACGTGTGCATGCATTTCGATTAATATCAATTTATAAATGGCAGTTCCTCAAGGTAATATAGTTACATAGCTTACTTATATCTAGATCTACTTATTTATTCGTTAACTTTAAAATCGTTTACAGTTTACCGTGTGAGTGAGTGTCTCACCACACTGACCACAGAGTACAGAAGTTGAACACAGAAGACTTGAGGAGAGTAGTCTTGACTGAGTCTGAGCTAGAATCTAGATCTAGATTAGATCTAGATCTAAATCTAGATTTCTAGTCTAGATCTAGGATGTAGAATCTAGATCTAGATCTCTAGTAGGTCTAGTCTAGATCTAATGATCTAATCTAGAAATCTAGATCTACTTCTTAACAACGTGATTGTCAGTTCTTAGGAACTTCTTAGTAGTGATTGTCACTGTCAGTTCTTATCGCCTGTCTGTCATCTCATATTGTATTGATATTATTGATTGTTGTTCCTCATTGTAATTTAATTTTTAAAATTTTTTAAAAACTGTTCGGATTACTCACTCAGTACTGATTCTAAAATCTAGTCTAGATCCGAGAATTAAGCAAAATTTTTAATAAAAAAAAAGCAAATTGTTATTTGAATAGGTTCAACTAGGCATTGCTTAATGACAAAGTTTGCCACTTTTGTATATCTAGTGGAAAACATTGAGACATTGACTTTTCCAAATAGTTAAATTCATGTTTAAACAAGCTAGTTGCAATAAAAAAAATTCTGCTTGTAGTCAATATATTCTATTGTTCTGGTAGAGTTCTTCTTGAGTGATTCAGTTATGCTGAGAAATAGAACAATAGCTGTTATTGTATTATATCTTTTAGTTTAAAAAAAAAGCACCAAAATGAAGCAGTATCAAAAATATAATGCAAGATTTGTTATTTTGAAATGCAGTTTTTGAGCTAAAATGTGCAGTCCAGCAATATGCATGGGGTAAAATAGGACAAGATAGTGAAGTTGCCAGACTCAAATCAAGTGTGGACTCTACCTTTAAAGTTGATCCAGAAACCACCTATGCTGAGGTAAGTATTTTTAAAATATATAAAATTTGAGATAAAAATTCAGTGACACTTAGTGTGTTAAATGAAATTTTGTGTTCTCTAGTTAGAATCATTGTATGGTCAAAAGAACATGTATTAACAACACAGTTTGCCCTTCATGGAATGTGATGCTTATATTAAACATTTGATATCCTAGCCCATTGAAAACAAATGCCACACTTTTGTATATCAAATGGATTGCTTTATAATTATTGATTAATATTATTACAGTTATTGAGACAATAACTATATGGATTTTAATTGTTATTCATCTAAAAAATAAAATCCAATCTACATGAAAGTAAGATCACAGTGGCTGGGTGTGAACCTGTTGTTAGTTTGGAGAAAAGCCAGCAACTGAGCCTTTGCACCTAAAATCTTCCTCTATCGTTAGGTATAGAAATATATATAGGCCTGCTGTGTAGTATTTGTACTAGCCACACAGCCTTCCTGCCCCCACATTGCAGATTTGAACCATCTCCTGGCCACCTGCACAGTATTGAAATATTATCAGTAAAATATATACATAACTATAAAATACCCTACTAAATATTTTTTTAAAATCAGCTATGGATGGGCACACACCCAAATGGTCCCTCTATTGTGAGTATTCCTGGAAAAGAGGAAATCCCATTGTCGGAGTGGGTGGAAAAACACCCAGATCAGTTAGGACCAGAGGTTCGGTCATTTTTTAAAGGAAACCTGCCATTTTTATTTAAAGTACTGTCAGTAAGAACATCCTTGTCTATTCAAGCACACCCAAATAAGGTATGTATGAATATTATGGAATTACTGTATATTTTGTTAATTGCTTGAGTAAATATTTTTTAATATATTAAGTTGTTAGATACATGTGTTGAATTTATTTTGGTGTGGTTATAATGTTTATGAAAGTTTTGAAAAAATTGTTTTTTTTCCTTTAGCATGGCTTGACATAAAGGGGCACTATTTTTTTTTTTTTGTTTCCTTAAAGAAAGGTTATCTCTACTTAATATGATTAGTTTTTTAGTCAAACAATGAATAATTATTTAAATGTTTTTCACTTAAATTGTTGTTCTTTTCTTGTTAATATAATGCAAGGAACATCACTGAAGTTAGGCATGTAAATCTAGGTTTTGGTAGGAACTAAGTTATACCAACAGTCAGACCAACTATTTTAACTTTCAAAGCTGGTAAATGTAAGTTATATTTGTGTGATTAAGGAGATAATCAAATAATTTTCTTTGTTTTGTGGGGATCTTTAAGGTGCATGCAGAACTCTTACACAAGACGCACCCAGATCTCTACAAAGACCCTAACCATAAGCCAGAGATGGCTATAGCGCTGACACCTTTTACTGGACTGTGTGGGTTTAGGCCAATCAAAGACGTTGCTCACTTTTTACAAAGTTAGTCCTTTTTAAATAAAAAAACAATATCCTAATCCAATGCCTCTGTTAATTTAGTGTGTATATTAAACAGCCAAGCATTAAACATATATGCTGAGGGTTAATCTAATGCATATAGGTAGCTTCTTTCTTTTATATCTCACAAAAATTTGTATTTTACTTTTGCCATAAAATACTTTTATTTAAAAAATGTTTAAAAAAATAATCTAATTTGAGATAATCCCTATTGACATGTATATATTCACAGTAAATGTTTCATCTGTTGTGTTGATGTAGGTGTTGATGAATTTCGTGAAGCTGTGGGAGAGAAAGCTTGCAAGTTGATAACAGCAAGCCATTCCATGGACATGCCTCTTCACCGCGAGGCGATGAAGGATTCCTTTATGGCTTTAATGCAACGGGACAGCAAAATTGTTAGCAGAGCTTTAACTGCCCTTGTTGACAAAGTGAAAAATCTAAGTAAGTCACAAAAAATAACTAACTCATTGCATAGTTTGTGTAAATCTATTTTTTATATTTAAAATACATCAGTTGGCCTGCTGTTGATTTGTTTTGAAATGTATAAATGTTTTTAGTTTTGCATGATGTTAAAATTCATTATTTAATTAAATTCTAGTTTTATATAGAGGTTATCTTACTACTCTGTCATCACATTGATGAGTAAAGAATTAAAATCAGTTTTAAAATTAATATCAAGATAGAGTCTATACCTAATCATATTAAAACATCATCCATTCTTCAACTAGAGGATATTTATTATATTGTATTAATCAATCATTTGATGTATTGAATTTTAATTTTCTTTTTTCATAATTTTAATTACAACTAGTTAATATCCCTTATTTTTCTCATTTTATTATTATTTTTACAATAGCAATGATACCATATTATTTCCCTATCAATAGAGAAATCCTCTGGAAATATCAAGCCTTATGAGGGTGATGTTCTACTGAAGCTGGATAGCGAATTCCCTGGAGACAGAGGCTGTTTTGCCATATATTTTCTAAACATTGTCAACCTTGAGCCAGGAGAGGCTATGTTTCTGGAGGCAAATCTTCCTCATGCATATTTATCTGGAGGTAAACTTAGACTTGCTATATTTCTCTATGTCTTGGTGGTGTTCAACCCTTGTTGGTAATGCTGATGTTAATTTTAAGTATAAACAGAATTGTTTTAAACAAACTTTGTGTTTATTTTTGAACTCCTATTGGAATTCCTAAAAAATTTTCCCCTCTGCTATTACATACACTAATGATACATTGATGGGCAGATTTAAAATTTAAAATTAAAGATTAACATTTGTTCCTTCACTGAACTAAAGTTTTGTTTAATGTATGATGGTTGATTGGTCAAATTTCTCTGCTTTTACTTTATCTGACATGAGTCGAGTACCATCAGAGCTGGATGGACTAGCTTTTATTTTAATCACCTTTTAGACCTAACAATCCATAGGGCAGGTGAGGTAGAGTTAATGATTCTTGGCCTTGGCATATGAAGGTATGATGTAGTCAACACTATGCCCAGCCGTTTTTTACTTTCCCTAACGTGATTTAGGACTTCTTGTAGACTTAAATCTGGACCGAGATCTGAACTTGAGAATTAAGGGTTAGCAGTCAAGTGCTCTATCACCTGACCACACCAATCCATCTCTTAAATCACTGAGTTATGATAAAAATGATATTAAAAGTGAATGTATTCCTCTCAGACTGCATGGAGTGCATGGCCTGTTCTGACAATGTGGTGCGGGCTGGTCTGACACCAAAGTACATTGATGTCCACACACTGTGTGAGATGCTGGACTACACTGGTCGGCCAGTCAACAGGACAAAGTTCCTGGGCATTGAAAGCCACAGTAACATACATATCACAATCTTCAACCCTCCTGTCCCAGATTTTGGTGTCTCCAAGTATGAGGTAAGGCTATAGCTTTCAAGTTTTGTTACAGAATTAATATGTTATGGCTTAATGTCAGTCAATTATACACTGAATCATTTAGAAACCATCAACACTTGAATGATGTTGTCCACATGGTTATCTGTTAAAATTTGACCTGCATGAGAGGTCAATTTGAAAAATTGTTTATTGAGATCAGAGGTTGTTTAAGCCAAATTTCGTTCCCCTGCATATTTTGTCATTGTAAAGTTTCTCTTATACCTAGCAAACCATTGGGCAGATGAAGTACAGTTCATGTGTTTCTTGACCTCGTTATTTGAAAGGATAGTGTGCTCAGTGCAATCCCCAACTGCCTTTACCGTATTCAATGTAAGTCAGGTACCCATCAGAGCTGGGTGGACTCAAGGATATCCAACTGGCACAAGTCTGAAATGAGATCTGAACTCGAGACCTTCAGGCTAGCCGTTACTAAAAACATATTTTGGTCTTAAGTAACATCTTGTAATAAGGTAGTTGTTGGGTGCATAATTTATTCAGCAGCAAAATTAATACTTATGTAATTTATGCCATTTTGATTAATGAGCAACAACACTATTACTAAACATACAAATATGAACAAATAAATAACTTAATATTTTGACATTTTGTTTTTAACATTACACAAATAAGAAAAAAGATTTCCATGAACTAATATTACGCAACATTTGGAATAACTTAGCTTGTTTGCTAAGATACAAAATTTTACATTTGGCACTGTAATATGTTTTGTGTGTTGGTGTGGCCTAGCTTTAGAGCCCTAGACTGCTTACCTGAAAGTCTTGAGTTCAAATCAAGGTTCAAGTCATTAGAATTTCCCTGAGTCCACCTACCTCTGGTGGTTACCTAACTCACGTTGAGTAAAGGGCATATGCTGAGGTTACAAAACATATGAACTCAACTTCCTTTGTCCCATGGACCATCAGGTTTTCAAAAGGGAACTTTAATGGGAACTGTAATGTTTTAAGCTTCTAAAAGTTTGTAAAGATCATTAACTATAGTTGTCTGATATCTATTTTAAAATGGCTTCTGCAGGTGCCTGCAGGAACTTCTAGCTTTCAACTTCAAGGCTTTGAAAGTGCCAGTATTTGTATAGTTGTCAAAGGTCAAGGGGAGGCCACCAGCCAAACTTTGGCAGAGCCATTGAAGCTGCAGCCTGGCAGAGTGTTTTTTGTTGCTGCGGAAGCTGTTGTTAATATTGCACTAGATGATAGCCATCCAATGTTAATGTTCCGTGCCTATTCTGGTGTTTTTTAACAAGAGTGCTCCCCCTTAGTTTATGATTTGCATGGGAAAAGAATAAAACTGGTGTTGGCTAAAAAAAAATGCTTAAGAATTAAAGCAGTCAATAACATGATCTATAGTGCTTTTAGATGTAAGAAATTAGTTTTATTTCTTATTTTTAGACAATCCAAATATGTTTTCCATCATCGAAATCCAACTTCATTTAATAAGTTTTTAACATCAAGTCTAATATTTTAGCTTTCGTAACATGAAAGTAATAAGGGAAGTAGTGTAAATCATTTTTAATGTGATCTTTTTAATGTTTGCATGTTGCCAGGTAGCCAAGATGTTTTTCTTTTATAACTATTGATCAATATAGCCCTTTAACCAAAGCATCTTTATTAAAAAAATGTTGTCTTTGTAAATTGAATGGGTGATGCCACATTGGCCTTTTATTGCATATCTCTTTTTATAAACATTACATACTCTTTTGGGCAAACTGTGTTGAGGGGTTTTAAAATTATTATTTTATTTAACTTCTTAAATGTTTATTTTTGAATGCACGACTATGAGATATAATTTCAGAGCATCGTTTTGCATGTGATTGGTAGATATTTTATCATAGGTTACCTATGTGAGCTGGTTGTATTTTAAGAATACAGGGAGATAACCTGTACACAAGGGAGATCAGTATCAACAGCTGAAACAGGAAATGTTGAAATTAAAATGGAGGCCAAACAGAATAAGATATTTTTGTTAATATATGTAACCGATAGAAAAATTTGTGTAATGTTTTGTAAATTTTTAATGCAAGTTTTAAAAATGTAAATAACCCTTTTTTAATTGGCTATCAAGTTTCTGTACTTTTTGCTTTGACAGTGAAGGCTGATCTCAGATTAAGGAATAATTTATTTATAAATGGGCAAATAACTTAACTAGACCAGTCATGTATAAAAATTAATTTATTTAATAATATTAATTTTTGCCTTTAAATAATTTAATTTCTTACCATTTAAATAGAGTGTGTAAATACAGTAAAGCTAGAGCATGTATTTTTGGCCTTTTGTTGATGCTGTGTAGTAGTCCCACCAGTAAAAAATGTATTACACAGTATTGCATGGCTGAGTGGAGGTTTTTGAACCCATGTATACTCAGGGGTTCCTCTAGTTTGTTCTATCTTTATACTTGCTTCATTTCTTGCATTTTACCTCTCTAAATTTCAAATTAGCTTGAGTAGAAAATTTTTCCCTGATTTAGCAGCCATTGTTTATTTTCTTTATAACATATGGTGGAATACTTCTGAAAAAAACCCAAAAAAACCTATTTAGTAAATTTTGCTTAAAATTTTAATTGCTTGCTTAATGAACTAATTACTAATGAAGCAATTTTCCCTCACTGAGACCACAAAGATCTGTTGATGTAAAAAATGTTTTTTTCACCACTTCTGCATGTACTCATTTATTTTAACAAGTTTTTGATTGGCAAACCATTTTATTAAAAAAAAATTATAAGTATTATACTGTTATTACACTTTTAAAAAAATTATTGTAAATCTCAATACACACACGCTCTTATTTTAGTTGGAAATTTTTAACCAGGTTTGTATTTTTTGTGTGTAATTTTTGTAATAGCAGATTATGTATCCTTTGCTTTCTTTTTAGTTAAGATAATCCCATATTGTCTCCCATTGAAGGAGACTTACATAGCCAGGGGAGCTCACTAACCATATTTCTGTCATGGAAAAAGAAAAATATTCTTTTTTTTTTCAGTATAAGGTGTTCTTTGTTATTAGCATTTTTATTCAAGTAATGTTTATTTAACAAAATAGCGAAATATATAAAATAGTTATTGAGGATAGATAAAGAGCTCAGGCTATGCTAAAGAAGTTTGAGATCCATTGATATGGGAAATTTCTACACTGTAATGTTAAGGTTGAAATAATGAAATTTAAAACAATGTTGTAGTAATTGGATTTTGTGTATTTTAAGATGGTTGCAAGCTTTAAATTACAAAACATGTCTGCTCTACAATTGTAAGATAATTAATTAGAACTAGTGTGTTGATTGATTTTATTTAGTCAAGAAAATATTCTCTGCTCTTTATCAAATGAAACCAGTATTGGATTGTATTGTTGTGTCTGTCACTTTCAATCTGTCATTCCATTAGGTCAGAGGTCAGAGACCTGAAGTTGTAAGAGGCTTTTTGAAAAAGTAAATGAGACTCATTTTGGAATTAGGGCCTACTAAATTGCCAAATTTGAATTAGTATTGTGAATAAATATTACTGTAATTAAAAAAAAATTCAAATAATTTTTATATTATGAAATATTATTAGGTCATTTAATAACTGAATTCATTTTTTTTATAGACAAGTGACTTCCCCTGTTACAATTATGCTGTCCCTTGTCTAAAGCAGGGGTTTCCAAACTTTTCAGTCCGAGGGCCGCATTAACTATCAAATTTCAGTTCGGGGGCCAATTTTTCCAAGACATGTCTTTGATTATTCTGGGCAAAGTTCCTTAACCATCACTAACAAATGATTTCTTCGTGGATGAAAAGATCTCCGCGGGCCGGATGAGAGGACTTCGCGGGCCGCATCCGGCCCGCAGGCCGTAGTTTGGAGACCCCTGGTCTAATGTAAAAGTTAAAACATCATACAGATGCAACATAAACTTACATGTGTACAACTTGACAGGAAGACTAATTTACTTAACAAAAAACTAAAACACATTAAAAGTTTCTAAATTTAAGTTAACAGAAAGAACATATAACTCTCAAGTGTCTTAATCGCATTAATTGTTCAGGTAATCTGCCCTTGCCTGTTGCTCCCTACATATTTACATAGCACATGTAATTTATAAAAATGCCTCTTAAAAGGTGTGCTGACCACTGCATTAGTTAAGCCTTTGGACCTTTTCTACTGCTTTCTCTTTATGTTAATGGAAATAATGGAATAAAATAAAAAGTTGGATCAAAACCTAGTCTTACTGTTTTATTTGAAGTATATTTTCTATATCAATTCTATTTTGTTTTGGGAGTAGGGGTGAAGCCCCACCTGAAGCCCCGATCCCTAAAAGGAACTTTAATTGCGACAGTCTCTATCAACAAATGACACCAAGGCGCACATAAAAAATACATTCGTTTTTTTTTCTGTAAATATATTTTTATCCCCATGAATATGTGTTTACTATAACTTGACATGTAAAGTTAAGCAAAAAACCCTCACAATTACTACTTCCGGTCAACGGAAATTACTCAAAATTTGACAGAAAGCAGAAAATTAGATCTTTTACTTACATGTGAAATTTCATTTATCTATCTGAAATAGTACCCAAGTTATAGGCTTTTGAAAAATTCAAAGTAGAAAAAGTTCCACTTCTGGTTATCGGAAATCGCTCAAAAGTTGATACGGATCTACGATTTTGATATAATACTTATATATGAAATTTCATCAACCTAGCTGTAACGGTACTCAAGTTATCGTGTTTACACACACACACACACACATACACACACACACAGACATACGGACAAGATTGCAAAACTATGTTTTTTTCCGACTCAGGGAAGTGTAAAACGTCGCGATTTGCAAAAATCTCGATTTTTTTTTTGCACGATTACAATACTTTCTCTATACTTCGTATATACGAGAAAGTAAAGAAGTGCTCCAATAGAGCTGAGACAAATAAGACAATAATTTTTTTTTTTTTTTTTGTTAAGGGTTACAAATTTTGTAATTCTAATAGTCTGATTAAAAAAAACTCAGCAATATTGTTATCAACATCCATATTTGAGCATTGTTCTTGTGTGCTGCTAAATTGTTTTTTAAAACAAAGTCAAATTTTGCTCTTAACCTTATGTTACATATTCACACCTGAAAAATTTAAATATCAGCCAAATTTAAACATCAGCGAAATTTCCTGATACTCACATATCATTCTTGCATCAGCCACATCCCTTAGATGTCATTAAAATATTGTGCTAAGACAATCCCTGTCATTCCAGTCTTACATAAACTTACACACAGTCACATATATATGTAAATCACTCCAGTCATCCCCATGACACATAATCACACTTTAAAATTTCTTCCTTGGACGGAGGCAAGAGAGAAGGGGGTAGACTGGGGAAGGCCATCAAGCAACTAGCCAGTGTGTATTCTGGTACAGCCACTAAACAGTCAGTTGGTCTCAGAGTTTTACTAGTGTCAGCACTGTTACCCAGTGGCGTAGCGAGGTCGGGTGTCACCCCCCAGAGGCGTAGCGACCCTTCCCGGGGACAAACTTTCAAGTTTTCGATTTGCACCCCCCCCCTCAAACTTTCGTTTTGCACCCCCCCCCCCTCAAGTTTTCGATTTGCACCCCCCCTCAAACTTTCAATTTTCAACCCCCCCCCTCAAGTTTTTCTCTATATATTTTGCTATTTTTTGCCTTGGTGTCACCCCCCTAAATGGTGTCACCCGGTGCGATCCGCACCCCCCCCCCCTCGCTACGCCCCTGCTGTTACCTGTGCTGTTGTCGACATTGTCTAATTTCAGTTTTTTGCTCATTTTGTCTACCCACTCGATGAGTAAGTTTTTAACATTGTCTTCAGTGTTTGTCTCCCCTGCTCCAAGCTGCTTCATGCGTACAATCTCAGCCAGCCTGTTCCTGTCCTCATGGCTCAGATGAGAAAACTGACAGCGGTCTCCAAACTTACAGTCACCAGTAGATAGAAATGCCCGACATGGTTTTTACTTTCTCGTATATACGAAGTATAGAGAGTCTTGTAATCGTGCAAAATTTACACCTCACTGATACGGAAAAACATAATTTTGCAATCTTGTCCGTTTGTCTGTGTGTCTGTGTGTCTCTGTGTCTGTGTGTAAACACGATAACTTGAGTAACGTTACAGCTAGGTTGATGAAATTTCATATATAAGTATTTTATCAAAATCGTAGATCCGTATCGATATTTAAGCGATTTCCGATAACCGGAAGTGGTACTTTTTCTATTTTGAATTTTTCAAAAGCCTATAACTTGAGTACTATTTCAGATAGATAAATGAAATTTCACATGTAAGTAAAAGATCTAATTCTCTACCTTCTGTCAAATTGTGAATAATTTCCGTTGACCGGAAGTACTAATTTACGCTATTTCCTATTTCTCAAAAAACGCATGTAAATTTATAAAGTACTTCCGAGTTGCCATCCCACATAGTGTTATATTAGAATATTCGAGAAAGTTTAGGGGAGATCACTCCCGGTTTATTTTTTAGTTTTATCATCCTGCAGTATTTCTTCTTCATCCCTAAAGGCATCATAATGTGCTTTCCTGTTCTGAAGGTGAGCGTTGCCAGTCAGGTGGACCTTACGACTCGTTGGATTATCAGCAAATGATTTCTCACAGTAATCGCAGTAGTAGCGCCTCCCCATTTTCACATAATCAGCAGGTCTTAGGAGACAGGCCTTCTGTTCTAGACATAGCACTCACGTTACCCGTTACTACACTAACACTGTAACAGACTGTAACAGTCTTACCGAGATCTAGTACTCGTCTTACAGAGTTAGTTACACACTCAACACTGTAACGGTTTTACTGTAACCTACCACAAGTACAGGCCTACATGTACATACAGTACAGACTGTGGCGTGCAGAGGGGGGGGCGGAGGGGGCCCAGGCCCCGGGCAGCCACATCAAGGGGGCATCCAAAGGGGGTAAAAAAATGATTTTTTTTTTTTAAATTTTAAATTTTTTTTTTTTTTTTTTTTTTTTTTTTTTTTAGGAAAGCTAAATGTCTACTAAGGTTTGTCTACCTAGGCAGAATTATCAAATTATCACAATTTGCCGAATTCACCGAAATGTGTATATACAATCAACACATGGCACTGATATAGTCATCGTAAGGGGCATCGGTGAAGGGTAGTGGTGTAGTAGTCATTGATATTCCCCGAATAAATGTATGCAGTCTTTCAATTAATAGAGTATCTGATACTTGTGTAGGTAGGGGCATCTTTTAGAGAACACGCCCATAATCATTTTATACACTTGTGGTCATCCATAGAGTATTAAAGCCCATGATTATAATTTACACACTGTAGGGGCATCTTTTAGAGAACACGCCCATAATCATTTTATACACTTGTGGTCATCCATAGAGTATTAAAGCCCATGATTATAATTTACACACTGTAGGGGCATCTTTTAGAGAACACGCCCATAATCATTTTATACTTTGTGGTCATCCATAGAGTATTAAAGCCCATGATTATAATTTACACACTGTAGGGGCATCTTTAATGTAATTTACTTATATTCATCATAATACTTTTGAAGGGCATCCAAACAGTAATTATGCCCGCATACATTTTATATATCGTCAGGGCATCTTTAAAGTAATTTACTTGTATTCACGTTTGTATTTATATAATTATAGCAATTATGCCCATATTCGTTTATATATTATCGGATATTTATTATGCTTATATTCATTATTGAATGTCTGAAGGGCATCCCTACAGTAATTATGCCCTTGTTCGCTTTATATTTTATCGGGCATCTTTATTATGTTTCTATTCATTGCATAATGTTTGTAGAGGCATCCTTATTTATTATGATGGACGTAACGGCATTCGTAGACTGATTAAGCACACAGCCTATTGGTTTTTTTTTATTCTAATGATATTCTTTATTCATGGCCATTTGGATTTTTGTGTACGGTTAAATACAAACTTTCAAGTCCGTACTGTTTTGATACACTGGGCCGGGCCGAGTTAACTTCAATCTAAAGTTGTCCTTAAGTCTCACACTTCATAATTAGGGGTCATCCATTTATGACGTCCACACTGGGGGGGGGGGGGGTCCGAAAAAAATTGACTTTTGTGTACGCGTGTGGACAGGGGGAGGGGGGGGGGGGGTTGGCCCAATGTGGACGTCCACACATTAAATCTAACATTATTTTTGGTAGTGTGAAAGAAAAATATTTCCTTGCGAAGCTAACGTCCATCTGTCCTATCTCTCTGGCCCACCACCCAGCTTGGGTCTATGCCCTGGCTTAACCTCGAATACAATAGGATCCAATTACCTGTTTCCTCACATTTGCATCCCATGTCAAATACCAGGCGACCTGCATTGCCCCTAGCCTGCACTTCTCTAGGTAGGCGGGGATCCCAGTTCAGTTGTGAGACGGGAGAGGGGTGGAGGGGGGGGGGGGCATAGCACGCTGTCCTTGTTCAGGTGTGGGAGGGGGGGGGCGTTAATACACACTAGCATCAACGTTGGACTCAGTAATATAACAGTGCCAATGCGACTACAAGTGTGCGAAATAATGGCTAGTCAAAACACCGCGAAATATGCTAAATTAAATGATTTGTATCAAAAGGCTTATCCTTCCAAATTGAAATATCAACTTCAAAAAGAGGTTAATAGCCTATGGCTTAATTTAAAGAGGCAGCCAGAAGAACAATTTAATTTACAGCTAAATTAAGGGTCTGACATAGCATAGTGGATTTTTAAACACAGTCCGATGTAGAAGTGTTGTTTTTTTAGGGCTGGCAGCTTTAGCCAAACAAGGTACACTTCTGTTATATTCAAGGTTCAGATACTTTGAGAGTATCTAGCATCACCCATCTCTTTAAAGAGTTGACGTTTTGACCAAGTGGTTTAGAGAAAAAATCTGAAACATCTCTAGTTCAATGCACACTCTCACCTGTATTAGTTACACTATAGGAATTCCTAAACAGGCCAAGAGAGAAACATCCCATAAATAAAGGCGTGTCTGACGCCCTAATTGTAGACACGGACAGCGTTTTTGTCCCTGCTGACCCGGGTGGTAATACAATACCGGATGAGACTCTTTTGTAGTGCATCACAGCCCCCCCCCTCCCCACCACGACACGTCCGCAATTGTCTCCCCCCTTTCCAACCCCTCCCCCCCCCCCCCCCCCCCCCCAAGTTCCAACCATTTACTCCATTTGGATTTAGCTGGCTGTAGTCAACGTTTTCATCTCAATTAAGATAAGTACAATTTTTTAAATAAATTATATATATATATATATATATATATATATATATATATATATATATATATATATATATATATATATATATATATATATATATATATATATATATGTTACGGTCAAAGCCCGAAGTCGGCCAATGCTAGGATTGGCCGGCCAATCCGCGCATTGGCCAATATCGCCTCCCATAGGTCGGTCAAAGTCCGAAACTTTGCTTGATTTCGGCCTTTGGCCGGCCAATCCGCAGACTGGCCATTGTGGACCGGCCAAAGTCTGAAATAGCTCTTCATTTCGGCCTTTGGCCGGCCAGTCCGCGGACTGGCCATGGTGGACCGGCCAAAGTCTTAATTAAAAGATCATCTGGCTAGGGACGACCGGCCAAAGTCCGAATTAGAAGATCATGAGCAGATTTTGGTGTTTTTTTTTAATGCCGTAATTATCATGAAATTAAGTCTTTATTGGTTATTAATTAAAGTAAATGACAGAAAAATTCAAATTTTTTATTGTACTATAGTCTCAATCTATCAATATCATCATTTGTTACAACAAGTTGAACTTTTATGGCATTTAGAATTACATAGCAGCTTGTTATTTTTACACTTGAAGCGATTTGTTGTGCACTTAGTTGTGCAATTGCAGCGAGTGTAGCCTTGCCCCCCAGTCAATGATTTTGAAGATGCGATGGTTCGTAGAGATTTTTCCTCAGTGCCAACTGACGACTTTATGAGCAGTTTTTCGTGAATAATTGAAAACTCACTTCTAGAATATATTTGTTTTAGAACACCACGTTCCGTTCCTAGCTTGTAGAAACCGCCCTCGACTCTCATGACAACTGCAATCACGCTTCGGGGATCACCGTGACCTCTGTCAACATCTGGAAAACGGATGCATACATTGTCACCCACTTCACCATCTTTAAATTTTGTATTTGATGTTTTAAGCATCTTAGCACCTTGAGTTTGCAAGCCAGTATGAGCTGCTGATCTGTGTTCCATGATGTCTTGTTTGTTGTGACACAATCTGCAGGTAATGTTCCCTCCGTACCCTTCGTCTGCTTCAATGGGTATTCCACAAATAGCATGGACATCGTTGCCACAGGATCCAAAAGAATGAGCTGCACTACAATGTTTTTCACAAACTATACAGAATCGGTTGGCCACAATATTGTCACGCAACTGGTCTGGGCGTTCCGCCACGGCAATAGATGTGTTACCTGAGGATGTCGTTGCATTTATGGCAACCTACATTTCTTGTTCAATGTTCTCAAGATCTTCCTCAGTAACTATTTTATCAAGAGCCCATATATGGAAACTAACATGGATTTACATTATTTTCTTTTGACAGCCATCTGCTATGTCTGTCTCATGGTCTGACGGCCCTTTTGATCCATGTCGCCTTGCATATAAAATGCTATACAAACAAGAGCTAAACAATACGTTACTCTCAATGAAAACGCACCCAGAATAATGAAAATGCGATCACAACTTAGTCTAGATAGAACATTGGCCAGGACATCCCGGCCAGTGCGCACATTGGCCGGCCAATGTACAAAATACGCTGTCAAGTTTAAGCGCTTCGGACTTTGGCCAGTACGTCCCAGCCAGTGCGCGCATTGGCCGGCCAATGTACGAAATACGATCTTAGAGCTAAGTTCTTCGGGCTTTGGCCAAGAGAGCCGGCCAATCCGCGGATTGGCCGGCCAATCCGCGCTTTGGCCGCATTTCGGGCTTTGACCGTAACATATATATATATATATATATATATATATATATATATATATATATATATATATATATATATATATATATATATATATATATATATAAGTATTTATGGGGGCATCTTTCGCTTGAGTTTGCCCCGGGCATCTACATAGGTCTGCACGCCACTGAGTACAGTTACACAGTAGAGTAGTCTACAGTCTACACTACACTTGACTACATACTATAGTAATCATAGTCATAGTCTACAGCTATCTAGCTAACTAGTAGCTAGTTCTACAACTGACCTAGCCCGATTATTAGGCTTAACGGATCCGTTATATTAATAATTTGGTAGATCTAGTAATTTATTATGCCTAGGCCTATAGATCTACAATAGATCTAGCAAAAAGAGACAATAAGGAATGCTATACTCAATTAGACATCTTTGCGAAAATACAACATCCTCGATCATAAGGAAACACCAGATGCCTAGAAATTAAAACTTTATTCCGCTAACAGTTTTTAAGATTTAAACCACATTCAAATGATAATTCTAAAATTATAAGAAATTTAAAATAAGAAACTTTTTTATACAAGTATGTTAATATAATCACTTAATACTATAATAAAAATGTATTATTTATTATCTAGCCTAATTAATTATTCTTTATTTTAACGATTTTTGAGAATTTATTTTTAAGATTATTCCCC